ACTCCTTGCTCCCCACTTCACTTCCAGGTTCTCCCCCTTCCTCCATCACCCAATAACCTTTCCTACTTTGAGGTTTATGCTATTCATATCCACCACCCAAACAAAATTATGTTGTCTGCTAGACACCTCACCCCCCTGTTTACTCCAAAATCTTCCTCAATTAGTTAAGTACATGGCTCACAATTTTTCCCTCCTCTCCAACTTCTGCTCTCATACTTAGGAACTTCAATATACATAATGCTTCTCCCTCAAACACTAACCACTTAGATGCATGACCTACCCTTGTCCCATGAGCTAAGTCCTCTACCCCTTCCTTAGCCATACACAAAGATCTTGCCATCCATCACCCACAAATGTACTATTTCCATGTATAAAAATTCCGAAATCTCCTTATCTGAACATAATCTATTGGCTTTTAATGTCTCCCTCTGTCTTCCCTTACAAAACCCTACTCTATCCAAACCATGCTCTCCAGTACCTTAACCCCTCAGTTCTCTCCCAAGCCACTTCCCCTACACTAGCCACTCCCTCTGCTTCCATCTTAACTCTTGATAAACCAGTTCAACCCTATACAGTCTTCTCTTGAATCCCTAGCTCCCTTAATTTGTAATGGGTATTCACCCATTTCACCCAGCTATGCCTCAGCCTTGGATCATTCCCATCATCCATTGACTTTACTCCTACACATGTGCTGCTGAATAAAAGTGGAGGAAATCACATACCTTTTCTGACTGGGTCCACTACAAGTTTGTTACACAACTTTGACTAAGCCCTCACTGCCACTAGGCAATCCTACTATACCTCCCTTATCAATTCACTCTCCCACTCTCCACAGAGGCTCTTCCAAACTTTTGCATCCCTCCTCAAGCCTCTCATGACTCCCCTTCCCCAACCCACCCTGTTGAGCACCTTGTCTCATATTTTACAAAAAAATTTAGGTCATTCTCTGTGAACTTCTCCCACATTCCTCATCTCCTATCACTCAGATGCCTTCTTCCACTATATCCTCCACCCCTGTCTTGTATGAAGAGGTGGCCTTACTCCTAACTCTTCTACCTGCATAAATCCATCTCCTCCAACAAATTATCCCCTTTGTCATCCTCAACCTCTCACATATCTTCAATCTTTCCCTATCCACTAGCTCCGTCCTGTTGTGATGGAAGAAACTGAGTACTTACATCCAAATTATTTATTTAGCAATGCATTCAGCTGCAGAAACAAACCAGGTCCAAGGTTATTGGTGGCCAAGGACCCAGAACCTTGGTTTCTATACAGTTAATATAGAATTTGGATGGAGTTAAAAAAAAAAACAGGATTATAGGAATTGAAACACCTGGTTTCTGAGTGGTGCAGGGGATTGGGAGACACCGAGACAAGAGGGAAAGAGATAGTTTTGACACTCCCTAAGTCAGGTGACCTTTGGGAGGGGGAGTCACCTTGTGACTTCTCCAAAATCTGATGCCTAACAAGTGCTGACACCTACCTTCACAAAATGGTGGATAAAGGCAAAATGTAGTTACTAATGTTATTTTTTTGATATTCTCTAATGCCTATAAATATGCCCATGTATTTCCCATCCTTGAAAAACCACCACTTAATCCTTCCATCCTGGATAGCGATCATCCTATTTTTCTTTTGTGCTTTGAGGCTAAACTCCTTGAAAAGGCTTCTACAGTAGTCATCTTTATTTCATCTCACTTTTTTCTTAGCCCTTTACAATCTGGCTTCTGACCTCATCATTCCACTGAAACTGATCTTTCCAAGGTCACCAGTGACTTCTTAATTGCCAAATCCAATAGCTTTTTCTCAAATCTCATTCTCCTTGGCCTCTCTGCAGCAGCCTTTGACACTGTCAATCATTCTCCTTAATATTCTCTTCTCGGGCTAGGTGGTGCAGTGGATAGAGCACTGGCCCTGGAGTCAGGAGGACCCGAGTTCAAATCCAGCCTTAGACCCAACACTTGACACTTACTAGCTGTGTGACCCTGGGCAAGTCACTTAACCCCAAATGCCTAAAACAAAAAAAATTCTCTTTTCTCTAGGTTTTCAGGTCACCACTCTCTACCTGCTATTTGACTTCTTCTCTTTTGCAGCATACTTATCCAGATATCTCATCTACCTCTTACTGTAGGTATCCCACAGGGTTTTGTCCTGAGCCCTCTTCTCTTTGGGGCAACTAGGTGGCACAGTGGATAAAGTACCAGACCTGGAGTCAAGAAGAGGCATTTTCCTGAGTTCAAATCTGGTCTCAGACACTTCCTAGCTGTGTGACCCTGGGCAAATCACTTAACCCTGCTTGCCTCAGTTTCCTCATCTGTAAAATGCACTGAAGAAGGAAAGGGCAAACCAGTCCAGTATCTTTGGACCCCCCCAAAAAAAAAAGAAGAGAAGGGGGTCATGAAGAGTCAGACACAACTGAACAGGAAGGCTACAACTACAGCATTTTTGTGTCCTCACAAACACACACAGTAGGTACTTAAATTTTATTACCAGTAGTATTACTTGTTGAATACCATGTCAGAAAGTGCTGTGCTAGGCCTGGGAGAGATACAAAGTTTAGGTAAGGCATTGTCCCTTACTAGCAGAGTTTACAGCACAGTACACTCTAGTCTATATTGTAATTTTTTTGTACATGCTTTGTTCACCTCATTAGAGTATAAACTACTTGAGGGCAGACAGCAGTGTTTTATTCATCACTTCCCTAAGTATTATATATAGAAGATGCTTAAAAATCTTGGTTAAATAAATGAAACTTAATTGTTCTTCCTGTCTCTTTTCCCCTTCATGCCTGCACATCTCGATATCATTTTAATCTTAGCAACCCATCTAAGCTATTTGAGAGTGAATTGTACTTTGCTGTTACCACAGAAAGGGCCCTGGCTCTGGGGCTGGAGAACCCTGGCTCAAATCCCACCTCTGAAGTTTACTAGCTGTGACCTTAGGCAAGTCACTTAATGTTCCCAAATTTGATTCTTCCTCTGTGAAACTAAAGAGATTCCCTGTAGCACTAGAGCTATGACTCTTTGGGCATCTTTAGAAGCAATCTGCAAATCCAGTTTCCTTTCCTTGGGAAATTTTACATTTAAAATCTTTTTCCCAATGGCCATCTTCTATTCCATGATAATAATTCCCCTTAACATTCCTATAGAAGACTTACAAAAATGCTCTCCCAATAACAACCCTATCAGGTAGGTAGCACGAATTATATTATTCCCCTGTCCCTGCCCTTTTTTTTTTTTAAAACAAATGAAAAGACAATCTCATAGAAATTATAAGCAATCTTTATGTGTTTAATTCCATCCCTTTCTTTGATCCTCTTCAATTCTACTTATTATGTCTTCATGGAGACCACCTGTGGTGGGCAGGCCAAGATAAAGCGATTCTTGTAGGCCACCCACCAATTAACAAAATGTTTAGTTACCTGTAGCAGGGTAAAGTTCAGCACTGGTTTCACCTGGGTGGGGCTTCCCTGCCTCTCCGTTGAGCACGATGGTCTGCTAATCAGAAGCCTGCGCTAAGAGAAGTGTCCTGACTCCTCCCGCACCAGCTTTTTATGTGTAAGCCATCAGCAAGTTATGTCAATAGCCCTGAAGTCCCTTGAGGCAATTAAGTCTCAATCTTCATTACTTCTCAAGGAAAAAACTAATAGCAAATATTAAATTTAAAAATAGCAGCAAAATTATACAAATTAAGAAAATTTAAAAATAGTAAACATTAAGCAAAACCAGCAAATATCGCCTCACCATACCACTCATGCCCACCATAAGCAATAAGGAACAATGCCGGCATAAATTTATTGAGTGCTTATGGGCTAGGGTATTTTATTAGAATTTACACATCTCTACTCACGGATCCATTTTTCACCACCATTTCGAATAAAAAATATCAACCGTCTTTCAATTGTTTCTATTCACTAGAGAACTGGAATTAGAAGGGACTTCATTAGTCCACACCACACCTGAACAAGAACTGCTTCTCGTTCATCCCCAAGTAGTCACTATTCTTTTGCTTGCAGATCTCCACTGGAGGGCCACTTGCTACCTCCTGAGACAGCCCACTCTACTTCTTTTTATTTTTATTTTTTTGAGGCAATTGGTGTTAAGTAACTTGACCAGGGTCACACAGCTACTAAGTGTCTGAGGCTGGACTTGAACTCAGGTCCTTCTGACTCCAGGGCTGCACCACCATGCTGCCCCAAGAGACCGTCCTACTTCTTGGTGGTTCTAATTGTTAGAAGTTTTTCCTGGCATCAAACCTACATTTTCCTCATTCCCGCTTCTACCCTTGCTTGCTCCTCTTTCTGACATGCGGGGCCAAGCAGAACAAATACGTCTCCTATTCCATTTAAGAGCCCCTGAAATGCTGGAGGACAGTTACAATGTCCCCTCTATTGTTTCTTCTCAAGTCATTTAATGGCTCCTCAGAAGGTGCAGATTTAAGGCCCTTCAGCATTTTGGTGCCCCTCCTCTGGTCGCCATCCAACAGATCAACGTCCTTCCTGAATGTGGCACCAGGAACCAAACTTAATATCATCTTTTCTCGCCTTCACAAGAAGTCTTTTCTTCCATATGTCTTTTGCTGGCTCATTCCCATGTCAAGGATGTTAAATCCAATGAGCTTTTTAGGATTTCATTCTCTCGGCCTGAATTCTCATTTGATTTCATGATGTTATTGTTTTGTTGTGGGTATTATTCGGGTTTCTTTCTCTCCCCTCTCCTCCTAGGTCTAAACCTACATTGCACATTTAATTCACATTCTACTTTTCCCCAGAGGCTTTACCACTGCCTTATATCAAACCTGGCAGGACCTGACCCTACTAGACCAGCTTCATTTTCTAAATTCTAACTACTTGGCTCATATTCTAAACATCTTCAAGGGTTCTGATGGGGCAATAAAGGGGGATTCTTGAAGCTGTTTTTCTCTGCAATTCATGAGAGTCAAAGAACACACACAGACAACATCAGAAAACAGGCTGTTCTTAAAAGGCACGGCGAGACCAGTAAGAAAGGACCACTGTTTATTTAACTTATGCATCAACAGAAGATTCACAGTTACCAACAAAATCATATTTCAGCAGAATTCCAGGATGACGTTTCCCTGCTCAAACCAACATGTGGCCACAGTATTGCAGAGGTTGGAGAGGTTTCAGTCTCTGCTTTTTTCCTAGCTTAAAAAGGAATTGTGTCCACTCTACATGTCGTGAGGCAAATGGCAAATATGGTTCAACAAATGGAGACTTCACAATCTTGGGGAGAAAAAAAAATAGACACAAACCCTTCACAGTAATCGGCTGTTGCGGTTTGAGCAATAATAAGCATTGGAGGGGGGAGATGGGAAGGAGGGAGGGTAGAGAATAATGAGTGTGCTAGGCATCTGGAGGAGTGTGGAAAGGCCCAAAGGAGACCAGGGCTTCTCAGGTTTGATCACGGTTCCATGTGACCACACATCACGGCTTGCTTTCTTCTGGGTAGCAGCGGCAGGTAGACCAAAGACAGCTTCAAGAGACTGCGGGCTGAGGTTCTGTTAGTAGAGTCCATCTGGGCTCCCAGGAAGGGGCAGAGCCCTCCAAAGAAGAGAAGAGCAAATGTGGCGTTCTTGGGGCCCAGCCCTTTCTGCAGCCCGAAGGAAGGATGACCATCATTCCTACCACATAAGCCTTTCCAGTTTCTTGGGATTCTCACAGACATCCAAAGCCCAGGTAACGTGCACACGTCTGCCCCAATTCCCTGGGGTACACTCTTCAGACAGGAAGAGATCTAAAGAAAATGTAGGGTGGGCTGGCCATATGAAAGTGAAATCACAAGGAGGACGGTGATTTCAGCAAATTGAGAAGTTCAGTGGGAAGCCTGTTTTATAGTCTGACATTCTACATTCTAACACACAAAGTAAACAACCTGACACCAGTATGTTCTTTAACATGATCAATGTACTTTGAACTTCTGAGACATTTGAGAACTACCTCTTAGCATTTCATAGGCTGAAAAACATGCAAACTAAATAAGTAGCTCTCCACAATCTGTACTGGCTAGCTTTGAGCTTGCATACTGTGGCCAGGTCTGAAATAGCACCAAGGTTCCCACAGCTAAGTAATCTGCCCCATCTACTTCCATGGCTAGAAAGTGCAGTTTGCAACGCCTTGAAAAGGACTGTTATTGCTCCTTGATACACGGTCCAGAGACAGACACACACATCTGAAACAGGCAGCCAGATTCTGATGGGTTTTCCCCTTTACTTCCCACATAAACACAGCAGAGCTTTACTCCTTAGCTATGCCAAGGGAAGACAAGGGAATGATAGTTAGAACCCTGAAGCCTCCTCCATCATGCCCTTCTCCACTGAACCCACAGACCTCTACATCCCTCTACTCCCCAAAATGAATCATCCATTCCAACGAGGACAGCTCCTTGATGGCCCCCAAACAGATCTTGCTCATTTCTCACTTTAAGCTTTGGCTTGGGCCATGCCTCCAGCCCTTCACCTGTACAAATCCCCTCCACTGAGTTTTAACTCAAGTCTCCACAAGCTTTTCCTCACATGAACTCCAAGTGACCCTTCTGGTCTTTAACACTCATCCTGGACTTAATCTACCTACTGCTTTATGTGCATACCCTGAATTTCCAACTGACTAGAATGTAAACTCCTAGAGGGCTGGACTCTCTCTGGTGGCCAGCTCCTTCCCTGGAATACCAATCAGTGCTATGCAAGCATTGGGGTGCTCCAAAAAGGCCTGAACAAATCAACATAGTTTCTAAACGTGGATGACTCAATAAATGGGCTCCTGGCCATCTCATTCATGGCAGTTCAAGGCTAATTCTGCCCTCTTTTACAGGTACTTTGTTCATTTTTCCTGGGGGTTAGGAGGTGTTTAACCTGTGAATCTTAGCCGACCTAAGTTTCTCACCTTTAGAAGCTGTGGCCTAACTTCTCAGAGGGCAGCTGAATACCCTTGGAGCAGCAAGGTTCAATCAAGGAAGCCGTATGAAATGCGTTCATTTCTCTGATATAAACATTTCACGGGCCCTTGGCCAGGGCCTTTCCTGGATGGAAGTCAAGAAAACTTTGGGACTGAAGCCAACAAACTGCCACGGAGACTAGCTGGTTCTTTACTGTTTGTCCTATTTCTTGAGGCTGACATAGAGGTGGGAGATACAAGCACATTCTAAGACAGAAAACCTGGCACGGGTCTGAGCTTAGGCCACGGGAAGCTTCAACCAACCTGGCCCTTGAGTCTCAGTGCTACTTGGCGACCGATGCCCAGGGCTGACTCTCTCGCAATTTCCAGTTTCTTCAGAAGGCACGGCTAGTACTCCCTGACAAGTCAGCTATAGCTCCACCCCTTCCCTCCAGCGCTACTCAGGAAGAAAACCGAAACAACCAGAATGAGTCATAAACAAGTAAATTTATAAAGAGGACAGGAGAATTGAGGAGATCTGTGTCATCTTGAGCCCCTCTCCTAAATTCCCATTGGCAACAGGATGACCTCAGAGCCAGTGAGCGCAGGAAGCTGCCAACGTGCCACTCCAAGAAGGCTGGCACTGACTTTTCGAAGAAATCCCAAAGAAAGTGTGATGAGGTAGCTTAGAACCAAGCTGTGCTTCTGCTTGCTCAGAAAGCGACCTTGGGGGCAGCGCAGCCTGGTGAAATGCCTCTCTGGTCAGACTGATCTGAAATGCCACCTCCTTCTTCTCCGTCCTCTAATAGGATCATGTTTGTAATTTTCAAATTTCACCTTCTGTAAAATCCAAGGATGCCAATCCTATTCCCACATAGCAACCAGAATTCCAAATGGCAAGGTCCTCTAGGAACATAACAAGTCTGTCTAAATGGATTATGGACCTCAGTCATGCCTTTAGGAAAAGGAGGAAAAAAGCTGCATAGCTAGCTGACCCATTGCAAACTTGGGTCTCTTCCCCTGGATAGGAGGTCCTAAGTGCAGGGAGCTGGTGATTACCCAGGAATTTTTAGAGAGCAGCAATCTGTTTGGAAATAAGACCTCTTTACCCAGTGGAACAGGGCCTGACCTCATGGGTTTTTTTCACATTGATTTCCTTGTCTGTCAAAGAAGTGGGTTAGACCCCACAATTTCCAAGGTCTTATCTAGCTCTATATCCGATGGCTTTTGCCCTTGAAAGAAGACAGGTCTGGTGACTTTACTAGAGAAAGAGAACCCGCTGGACTGGCTGGGGTAAAGATGACATGTACTCTGTGGCTCCAGCTCAGGAGTGTCTGAATCTCCAGTGTCTAGTATAGGCTTGCCAATAGCTCCCAGCAAAGACTGAGTAAAGACAGATGTTGGAGGAGGAAACAAAGACCTGATTTCACTTGTTTTACTACCAATGGAATCTCTTAGGTAGAAAGACTTAATTTTTAAAATTTGATTAAACTGGTTAAAAAAAAGTTGTGGTTTTTTTTAGAAGGCATTTTTCAGCAGTCACTAGGTTGCTAAGTCCACACTATGTAACTTCAAGCAGGCTTTCTTCATTTGTAAAACTGGGACACTGGATCTCTTAAGACTTCTCCTAGCTCTAACATTCTGTGGTTCATTTGGGCTTCCAGTATGTGGGGCAGCCCCTCTCTGGGCCTCCATATCTCCAACAGCAAAATGTGAGCCAGTCTCTTCTTCTCCCTCTCACAACGTGCTACACAAGTCACAGCTGTAAGTGCTTTGTGATCCTTAGATACAAGATGCAGCGTCACCAAACAGTGAGCGCACACACACTCTAAGCCCCATGTCATTACTGCCATTTTGCTCTTCAGAGTGACTCTTTCCATACTAACACCATAATGATGGCCTGTTGCACACTCTTAATACCTGATATGTTTAAATTTTAAATTTATTGGTTAGTTTAAAAATGACTGGAAAGGAGTGATGACACAAGAGAAGGGATCCGGGGCACCGGAAATCCCAAGACAAGGAAACACTGTCTTATGGCAATAGAGGAGCAGCTGGACAGGGGCCTGTCTAAACAAGGCAGAGCAGCAGGCAAGGCCCATCCTAGCTGCTCTGCCTTCCACGAGGAGCTGACCTTAGCCAGCTTCCTCTGAGAAATCTTTTGGCAATAATGTAACGATCACTTCCGAGTCTCTGCACTCAGCCAATTTTTTAGAAAAGTAAATCAGCTGCCCTTCAAGTTCAAGGTTTAACAAATCCATTTATCGTTTCTTTAAACCTGCAATTGCTTGACTGGGTCATTTGCTATTTGCATAGTTTACAGTCACTCGGCTCCCATGGACTTCCCCAAACATTATTGTTCTATCGTGGAGTAACCCAAGGAGTGCAAAGCAACTCTGAGAACCAGGAGAGAACAGAGACAAGTAAATCATTATCTTGGGTTTTAAAATAATGCATTTTGCTTCTCTTTGAGAAGGTTTAGCTAAGGTTAAAAAAAAACAATCTGCTCATTTTCTTGCTAGAATACTCACAAAACTATAAAGGCAACCAATACCTAACTTCTTCATTTATTCCAACTCTAACAGAAATGTTTAAACCTGAAAGCTAATTGAGCCGAAAGGCCCAAGGAACCACTCCTGCTAAGGTTTCTGGAGGACCTGGACAGAGCTTCCACACCTTGTCTTCTGAATGAAAACAAACATGAGGATAAAAGTGGAGCTGTCCCTTTGAATAATTCAAGGATCATGTCAAAGGGAAATGACAGATTTATTTACAAAAGAAGTCTCTCTGCCAGAGCGCCATCCCTTTTTGACTTTTTTTTCCTAACAAATGAAACACTCTCCACTTTCTGACCTCTCCTTTCGTCTGCAGGGCCTCAGCATCTTCCATAATCTTCAGACAACACAATCCGACATCTTTCCAAATCTCGTGATTTTTTTTCCTGGTAATTCTGTGAGCAAGAGTGGAAATGAGCACTTAGCTATTATTGACAGGTGCTTCGGATCTCCTGCTTCTCAGGCTAAAAAAGTGAGACTGCAATTCCTACTGCATACGAAGACCGGCCAATCGCACTGTCCTCTTTTACTTGGAGACAGTGGAGAAAATCCAGCCACTCATTCATTTCACTGCCAAACCATTTCCAATCCCATGCAATGTCCCTGAGGGTTGGGATTCCTCTTTGGATAGAGTTCTTCAGTAAACTGAAAACTAGGGAAAATCTCATCCGGCTCTCTTGGGCACACCAGGCGAGTACTTGGTTCTATTAGGACACTTATCAGGAAGCTGCACAGCTCCTGTTGTGCAGTGTGAAGGGCACAGCACATGCCACCCTGAGGAAAGACTAAAGGAAGGAATGCGTGCATTTCTGCCATTCCAAGAGAAGGTCAAGGGAGTGGGGGTGGAAAGTGGATTCCAGTTTGAACCAGGCTAAAAATCAGTAAATGAAAGTGGCTACTGATTTTGACATCAAAGGCAGGAAGTTGTCAGAATCCAAACGGCTGCAGGTGGTAACTCCAAGTTGAGACAAAAGCAAAAGGGAAACCAGGGTCTGTTCACAGAGTAGGAGACCCCTTGCAAATGGCTCATGGCATCAAGTACACACTGGACAACCCAGAGTTTCCACTAAGAGATTGCTCTGAAAGGTTAAAATTCTCAGCTTGTAAAGAGTCAAATCTTCATGGCATTTACATGGCGTATTTCTGGGTCCATTCTCTGGCTAATCTGTTGTACCTGGAAGAAAAAGAGCAGAGGTTCTCAATGCTACAGGAGAGGCAAAAAGGCTCCTTTCTGCCAATTCTCTTGAAAACCCGAGGAGTCTAGGTCACGGAAGCCACAACGACAACTGAAGTCTGATTTTCCTGCCTGTTGGCTGGGAGGTCCAGCCCAGGAGGCCATCTGTCACTTCCTCAAGGGCCACCCAGTCTATCTCCTGATTCTCTTCCCCTGTTCTAGTGTGATGATGTCATACATGCAGTAGGAAAAACCCAAGCTGGTGTTATCTGAGAAGAATGAAAACTAGGCAAGGCAAAACCAGCGGCTCGATCAAGCCTCGGAAAGTGATGTGAAGTGCTAAATTAGAGCCTATTGTGAAAACGATAGTAAAAAAGCTAGTTTTAATCAGGGAATCCCAGTTTGAGCAGCAGAACGTTCTGTGGCTTTTCCCATGGGACTCTGGAGAAATCTCCCTTGGTAAACCATACTCTCTTTTCAAAGGGAGACTGACACTGATCAGCACTGAACTTAAAGTACAGCTGGGGGTGTTTCTGTAATTCTTGCTATTGAAAGGATGGACTGAGTGTTAAAAAAAAAAACAACAGTGAAATTTCACACATTTTTGCACTGACTCAGAAAACAAAGATAAAACACTGAGAAACCAGGCCAGTTAAAGAAAAATAAACCTAAACATGAAGTGAGCCAGAAAAATATGTCAAAAGGGAAAAAATAAAAGGCTGTCCTCCAGAATTCAATAAGCATGTGGCTGCAAAGAGCCCTCCATCTACCTGCCTTTTTTCAGGTTCTCAAAGGAGATGTCAAACTGATGTCCAACAGTCAACACGCTCAAGTCGCTAACAAACAGCTTGGGCTCAGTGGTGAGAGCCAGCTGGGAAAGTGACAGTCCAGCCTCAAGGACTCAGCCTAAGGCAGAGGCCCAGGAACAGAGGCTCAGGGTCTCACCTCCTGAGAGGCAGTGGATGGACTCCAGGTGCACAAGACTCCAGAGATCTGTATTGCTTGACTATGCACATTTGTTACGAGGTAGTGGGGATGGGTGGGAGGGAGAGAAAATAAATACTTGTTAATTTTTTTTTAAGTGATCTCTTCTCCAATGTTTCAGCAGTTATCAATGTCCAACCGTCCAACTGTTTTTAAGCTTTTTTTCCCCACATTTGATTTATCTTTGAACAGTTATAATTAATATTGAATGTCAATTTAACTAATTAAATCTGCTTTGCAACCACCTGCAGTTAATTAATCCCAACATATAAGACTCTCCTGACTTTGCACCCCTCTCTGAGGGTCTCCATCAGGACTCTGTCCATTCATTCTCGGCATTTCACCTCAAGCAGCTGCCATCAGTCTTTGGCTTCCACTTTTTATGCTTTAATTAAATTCACAAGGGTCTTTCCAGATTTCTTTATATTTCTTTGTATTATATTATATATCTGCTCATCTACAGTATAATTCCATTAAATCAACGTACCACAATGAAGTTAACCATTCCACTGCTATATAACATTTGGGTTACCTCCAGTTTTTTTTTTCCAATTACAAATAATCCTGCTATGAAAATAGCTTTTTTTAAAAAAGTTGTTTTGATAACACTTTCAGGGTGTATTGCAAACAATGGAATTACTGAGTCAGAGTGTGATAATTTTTTGTAATTTTAACTACCAGATTGTTATCCAAAAATATCGCATAAGTTTGTGATTCTATCAGCAATCAATGAATGTGTGTGCACCCGTCTTCTCTGAGGCCAGTTTGCCAACTTTTTAAATTCATGCCACTGTTTCCGTGCTGGTCTGGTGTGGATTCTGCCAGGCTAGGTGCTCGAAGTGATGGTGGCACTTGCCTTTTGAATGTAGCCACCAAAAGAGAAGTCAGAGTCGATCAGGAACAGTGAGCTCGATGCTTCTAAAACCTAGTGCTAGCTAACAAATGTGTCTGTTAGGCATTCCCCCACCTCTGATCACATCTCGCCAGGACTCCTCTATTTAGCTATAAAGTCCTGTCTTCTCTCTGCCCTTCTGGCCTCACTGGATGTTACATCCCCTCCCACACTCTGTGATTCACCCAAACTTGTCTTCGCACTGTGTCACTTTACCACACCACATCATCTCCCATCTCCAGACCGCTGCAGGAGCCAAGTCCCTCACCAAGAATGCTCCCCTTCCTCACCTCTTTCTCACAGGCCCTCTCTTCCTTGAAGACACAGCTTAGGTACCACCTTCTACATGAAGCCCATCCTGATTCCCCTGGCTCCTCCCCAGTGCTCTTCCTCCCAAACTATTGTGTGTTTAACTACTCTGGAGTTACATTTATTTATTCATTTTATGTTTATCCTGAATATATTTTTAAATGTACTTGTCTCCTCCACTAAAAATGTCAGCCCTTTGCAAGTACAGGACACTTCATTCTTTGTACTTGTACCCCAGTGCCTAGAACAGAGCCTAGCACGTGGCAGGCTTGTGGACTGACTGAGATGCCCATAATGCTCTCTGCCACAGGTGCCCTGAAAAGCCCTGGTTCTTGGCCCTCCATCTGCCACCAGCCAAGCGTGGCCGGACCACTTGGGGGAAACATTTTTTCAAACCGTGGCAGCTGATAAATTACAGAAAAGGTGAATTGCTCCTGAAGCAGCTGACCATCCTCTTCTTCTTCCTTAAAGCCATCAGACAAACTAGTTGGAGGACCCAAACAGACCTCCTGTTTATAATTCAGGACTCCTTCCACTAGCCTACACTGTCTTCTTGTCAACTGACTGTAATAGTTGGTGGGTTTCTTGCAAAACAGAGCTGCCATCGGTGACCTGTGGCTCAGTCGAAATCCCCAATTATAAAGCAGTGGTGAGGAGTACCCTTCCGCAGGTATACCTGAGGACAAAACGGGCCCGCCCAAGGACTGCCACTTGTTTAGTCAGTCATAGGAAAAATGAGAAACTCCAAGCGAGGCTTACTTCTCTCGGTCTGCTTTGTAGGTGTGGGCTATCTCAGGAACCAAAGGGTCATCAGGGTTGGGGTCACAGAGCAGGGAACAGATAGACAACAGAACTAAGGGAAAAAGAAGAGTTGAATGAGCGACCCTTCTGTGCCCTGGTGAGCCCCTCCCCTCGCCCTGTCATTGGCACTCCAGGGATTTCAGGGTCTGCTGGAGTAACTGTCCTTCTATCCTCCATGATTAGCCCGACTGACAGGTCACTCGCCGGCCACTGATGTGCCCTTCTGCCTCACCGCGAGTCTGACTCCACTTCTCTCCTGGAGCCTCCATTCCCCACAATGAGCGCCCTTCATTATCCTGAAGCAGACCCAGCTGGCTCTGTCCTCTAACACACTTTCTCCCCCTCCCTCCTCCTCCTCCCAACTTCTTAACTTAAGCTCTGAGAACAACAGCCAAAGCACTATCTCCAATCCTGGAGGATGTGTTGACCAACCACCCTGGGGGTCCACCCCAAGCCCCCTCCCTGGCAGCCACCCCTTCCCCCACTGGGACCAAAGGGCAGAGGCTTTCCTTCTGTTTGCATTAACAGCCCCAGTCCTTGGCATGGTGCCTGGCACATCACAATGCTTTCAGAAATGCTTATTTACTCTTTAAAACACAACACCATCGTGAGAAGTCAGTGCCCAAGCAGAGTCTGCGTGGTGAAGCCACGTTTGCTGCTAACTCACTAAGGGACCCTGGGAGCATCATGGAAGTTCTCTGGACCTGTTTCTTCTGCTGTCACCTCCCACCTTAGCTCAACACTTGGCAGACACGGCCAAAAGCCCATAACCTGCAAAGCAGGTGGGAAGACTGTCATCTCATCAACACTCAGGCTGTTCCACTGTCTAGACACAGCAGGACGAGTACCGGCATGGGCCCCTGTGCTAAAGGTGAGAATGAGGAAAGGGCAGTTCCATAGCTACTGTGGTAAAGCCCAGGGAGAACACAAGGCACAGGAGCAGGGAAGGCCGGGCCAGTGATAGAGGCCATGTCACCTGCTGCCTCCATCTCTTCAGGGGCTAGTGATGCGGTGGTGGGGACTAACAGGGGAGGAGAACCATAAGTTTTATAGAAGGAAGGGAACTTGGAGTTCACCTGGTACAACACCTTCATTTTACAGAGAAGGAAACTGAGACACAAAGAGGAGAAATTCTTTCCCCGAGGTCAAAGCAGGAACAATAATGACAATGATGACATCAAGTTAGTGCTTTGGAGCCTCCTAATTCACTCCAGGAGGTGGGAGCTGCCATCCTGGGCTTAACAAGGAGCTGTGATGCGATTCAGACCCAGGTTTAGGGAGATAATCTCGCCTAAAACTAGCCCTGTCTTCAGCAGCAGCGGAATTCTGCTTCATCCTCACTTTATTACTGCAGAGATAAAACAGGCCACTCTAAGTAAACGTGGCTGCGTCTAAACAGGACAACTGAGCACATAAATAATGAAGGTCACATGAGAAAAATGTATGTGAAGATCTGGGTTCAAATTCAGGCTGACACTAGCTAGTGAGCTAGGCAAGTACTTTTTTTTTTTGAGTGAGCCAACTGGGGTGAAGTGACTTGCCCAGGGTCATACAGCTAGAGTCAAACGTCTGAGGCCGTATTTGAACTCGGGTCCTCCTGACTCCAGGGCTGGTGCTCTCTCCACTGTGCCACGTAGTGGGCCAGCACTTCTTAATGGTTACTCGTGACCTCAGGCAACTCGTAAGATTTAACTACAAGCTCAGAGGCAGCTTTCTGTGTTGGCAGAAGGAATTCCCCAGCCTGAAGAAATCAGAGACCTTCCCTGAGAGGTGTAGTAAGCTTGCAAATTCCATTTCTTCTTTCCTAAGCATAAAGGCTGCGTGTCAAATGCTCCTGAATATGAAGACTTTTCTTCAAGATGCACCTCTCCTAGATTCGAGGGGGCGTGGGGATGTCCCAGGGGAGATGTCAGTGGTGTGCAAACAAGAAGCAACAAGAAAGCCTCAAAAATAGTCCTCCTCTTCTTGCCAGCGCCTTTCCCTCTAAGATCGCCTGCCCGCCTACACTGCGTGCACCTCGCACGGACCTAGTTCTATACACGCTGTTTCCTACACTAGACTGTGGGTTCCTTGAAGGCAGTGCCTGGTACACAGCTGATGCTTAATAAGTGTTTGCCGAGTGGTTAACAGTTGGCAAGTGACATGTATGTATATACACACACATAAATATGCATATACATACATGCCTATACATGTACACATGCACGCGCACGCGCGCGCGCACACACACACACACACACACACACACACACACACACACACACAGAGGCGTCCTGGAGAAGGTAAGATTTTACTTGAGACCTGGAAGAAGCCAGGAAGGCAGGAGGAGAGAGAAGGGAAAGCATACCAGGCACAGAAGACACCCAGGACATGCACAGATCTGCGAGAGGGAGGGTCTTGTTGGTGGGAGCGCCAGGAGGCCAGGGTCACCGGAAGCGTCCGGAGTAAGGTGTAAGAGGACTGGAAGGGTGGGGGAGGCAGGTTGCGAAGGGCATTTTGTATTTGCTCCTAGAGATAACAGGCAGCCACTAGAGTTTATTGAGTAGGAGGTGGGAGGTGAAGGAGGTATGAGCATGTGACTTGGGCACTTTAGGAGAATCACTTTGGTGGCTGAACGGAATATGGATTGGAATGAGGAGAGACTGAAGGCAGGCAGACCCACCCCCCAGGCTACTGCAATCATCCAGGCATGACATAATGTGACTGACACCAGGGTGGAGGTAGTGTCCAGGAAAGAAGGGGGTATATCCCGAGAGGTATTATGAAGGTGAAATGGACAGGCCTTAGCAACAGCTTGAATATGGGAGGTGAGAGACAGTGAGGAATCCGGAATGACTCCTAGGTTTGGAGCCCAAGGGTCTGGGAGAATGGTGATGTCCTCTATACTAACAGGGAAGGGGCTGGGGGTGGGGTGGGGGTGGGGATGAATTCTGCTTTGGGCATGTTGAGTTTAAGATCTCTACTGGACATCTAGTCCAAGACATCAGAAAGGCAGTTCTATCTTGCCCTGGATTCAGGAAAAGCATCACGTCATCTTCTCCAAGAATTTTCTATCAGTCTGAACAAAGCCCGCTAAGCAGTTACTCTAGGTTTTCAGGCCTTTTCTTATCAGCTTGTCTCTGGATCAGCTAATGTGCCTCTTCTTGGGGCCCTTGGAGGTCCTCCAACCCACCCAAATCCTACTGCTGACCAAACATCTTCAATGTTTCCTAATAGGAATCATCTAGTCACATAGTGGTTGCCCCCATATCTACCTTTAATGCACTTTAGCTCATTAACAATACAGTTATCCCTTCTACACATTGCAGGGATTAGGGCCCCCTTGATCTGGAAAATCTTCATAAAAACTTTTAGCCCCCTCTTCATACCAGAGAAGAAGTCTGAATATTTTTTTTCTTTTTCTTTTATGGGATGTTTACAGTACCTTATTGTAAAATTTGGGTTAAGTATTTGGCCATAGGCTATATTATACAATACTATACATATATTTTATGCATTTCTGGTTTCTAGACTTTTTCCATGTCATCTGTAGGCCTTTGTGTGTTGTCTGCAGCTTCTCCAAAACTTCCCCAAAACTCCCATTTAATTTCATATGCTAACCCGCGATATATCAAAACCACAATGTGGAAAACCGTAATGTGGAAGGGATAACTATTTGCCTTTATCATTCTTACATTCTAATTATCCTTGCCCCATCTCAACAGACACACTCTCACGCCTTGGTATGTTTTAGCAAGAAGGATGTTCATCACCTGGAGGAATAGAAACATACTTCAATTTCAATCTGCTATTGATTTTTCTACAAGTCCTTTAAGTTGGGCTTACCAAAATCAAGGTTTGCCCAAGCCCCCAAAGGACCTTTGAAAGGCATTTTTGACCCACGCTCTCGAATATCGAATGGCAGGTGATGGATGGAATTTTCCAACAAGTCCTACTGAGAAATGTCCTATCATACAGCCCTCAGTGATCCTACGTCCTTTTTTCATTCCTACCTTTTGATACCGTTAATGCTGGAGACCACTGAGATCTCAGGATGTCAAGACAGATGCTGCCATTGCTGTTGATGTTGGGGTGATAAATTTTGGTTGTAAAAGCAACCTGAGGGATAAAAGATCAAAAGCTGAGATTAGGAATGAGGCCATCACAGACCTTCTGAATTTGCAGAAACAGTGAAGTTAAAATGAAAAGTGCTATCAGGAAGGATGTAGCTAAGAGCGTGCCTTGGTGTCCATCACATCACTCCTAACTCTCACCAGCCACACGTCTGGTCTCAGGCCTTCTCATGAGCAGGGGTTAACACAGCATGGGGGTCCTTTTCCTCCTCCTGCTCTGGAGCAGTCCTGGTACTTAAAAGTAGATGAAGCCAAGGGAGCTGGCAAGTGGGAACCAGAGAGGACCCCCAGGCCTGTCCCTGAAATAAACCCTCCTCCTTGGGTCCCCTGAAAGGGAGCTGAATTTGCTGGGGCTCGCCTTGTCCATGGATAGGCCAGATATACATCTAGGAGTAGGAAAACACATCGACCCAGAAGTTCTCACCAATACCGAGACCATAGCTAACATAGAAAGAAAAGGCTGCATGACTAGGGGCTCAACGCTGGGCTAAGAATTCAGGAATTCTATCACCAAAACACCCTCAGGAAAGCCAAGTTACATTTACCCACTGCCTGCCATGTCCTCCCTCTTGAATGACCAACTGGCCACACAGAAAGGCTATGGGGAACACACTTTTGGAGTGGGAGAAACTAGTCAATACCACAGCTAGAGGAACTCTATACTGCATGAGGATAAAGTGCTACTAAAAAATGATCACAATCATGGCTAAAACCAGGAAATCAAGGCAGTACAGTAAAGAAACCTGTACGAATTAGGTTTTTCTCTTTTTTCCTCTTACTTATTTCACCCTAAAGAAATATAGACAAAACGAGCGTTGCAATTCCTACCATTTTTCTTCTAAGTGAAATAAAAACGGGTACAAAATTACCTTAATATAAGTTGGATCACTGAAATGTTTTAAGCTAATCATGGCTCTTCCTACACTGGGAGGGCTGAGGGTATTAAAAAGAGAACTGGAACTGGAACGGTACTAGATTTGACATCACAGGGCCTTGGTTCAAATCCCACTTGGCCACTTTTACCACCTGGGACAAGTGACTCACTTCTCTCTGCCTCAGTTTCCTCACCTGTAGATAGAGGTAGGTCAGATGATCCCTTCTGGTTCTGACCCTATGATCCTATGAGTTTGGGATTAGAGCTCTGCTACTCACCAGTTGTGGGACCATGGACAAAGTGCTTTATTTCTCCTACCCTCAGGTAATCATCCTAAAGCCCTGCACACAAGCCTTACCAATCTCACAGAGCTTTTATGAAGATCACAGACCTAACACTGGAAAGAACCTTAGAGATCCAGCCCTGGAATCCTTAGCCTGGCGTTCATGAATCTGGCTGGTGGGTTTTTTTTTAATATTCTGATAACTATATTTTTATATAATTGGTTTCCTTTGTAATCCCATGTATTTTACTCATTTAAAGCCATTATTCTGAGAAGGGCTCACCAAACTGCCAAAGGGGCCCAGGACCCTGCAAAAGGTGAAGAATCCCTGAACTCAAATTATAGATGAGGAAACTGAGGCCAGAGGGAGGAACTGGCCCCTCCAAGGCCAACAGCAGCCTAGAGATGCGAACCCAGTCCACTTGGTTCCAAATCCAGTGCAATTTCTACGGTGCCACGACCACTCTGCCTCCCTTAGGTGACCATAAAGTAACATCAACATTTGAGTAGTTAATAATCTATTAAAAATGTCAAAATATCCGATGTAACAGTTAAAACTGAGTAGTCAAGTAGGGGAATATGCAACAGAAGGCAGGTGCATTCGCCATCTCAGGAAAACTGCCTGGCTCTTCAGCCCCACTTCCCTCTACTCCCCTGGCAGTAACAATGGGCAAGCAAGCATGGAGGGCTCTGATATGAAGTGAAGCTGATGAACAACGCCTTAGAATGTTGACTACATTCACAATTGAAAGGACGCTAAATTTCAGTTAGAGGTTAGTGAAAATAAAAACGTAATTTTTTTCCCATCCAAGTTCCCCTTTGGGGGTCTTTAGACCTCAGGTTAAGAACTCCTACTCTAAAACAATGAGTCTAGTTCCATAAGCCACAGGAAAATCTATTGTGCCCAAACTTACTTTCTAACACAGGAAAGGACAGCACTGTTTCAATGAATGATTTTTATCCTCCCACCCCCTGGTTTTATGAATTTAACAACCCCAGGATCCACTGGCTAGGAGATCTCTTGAGAGAGCTTATTGACTCTTCTCTTACTTTTCCAGGAAGGTACAAATTGCTAAAATGGTTCAGAGTGGACATTTCTCCTGTTCTTAATCAAAGAAGAAGTGATTCATGAGGGTGATGTGATAGGAACGTTGAGATACTTTGCCTGTATTGGCCAAGGAAGGGAACGGCAGAGACCGAGGTATACCCTAGGCTTTATTTGGTTATCTTAATATATACGTGTATCCAAAACTATTCACAATGCTTTAACAAGGGAGAGAGACTAGCTCTGTGACTTCACTGGTATAGGGAACTCCTTCTACCAAAGCAGACTAGCACCTTCTTAGAACATGGAGAGATTATGAGACTTACCCAGGGTGAAAAAGCCCAAGATGTCAAAAGTAAGCCTTGAACCCAGGGCTTTCTGACTCTAAGTTCAGCTCTCTCTCTATCCATTACTCAGCACTGTGTATATTTTAATAAACTAGAAAATAACAACAGTTTATCTATTTTCCCTCTGGATCTATCTATGACCCCTTTCTGATCCATTTGCCCATTTGTGTCCGTATCTTATATACCTGTCATTGTACTTCATGTGCATGAACTGGTTTTCTCTTTCTGATTTCTTTGTTTTGCACTATTTTGTATCTTTCTACATTCCTGTTCCTTAAATTTTAGTAGTAATGACTTATCACAATTTGTTTGAACAGTCCATTATCACTGGACATTTAGGTTGTTTCCAGATTTTTGCCACTACAAATAATGCAACTATAAGTAATTTTTGTACAGATAGGTTCCCCCCCTTAATTAAACCCAGGTTCACTGCTTCTTAAACTGTGGGTCACAACTCCATATGGGATCAGGACACACAATTTAATAAGTGCTGAAAAAAAGTGAAAAAAAGATTAAGAAGCCCTGCTTCTAGACTCATAAAAAAGACAACCATTGTCCCACTGATAAAAGTGCTAAGGGAAGATGAGATGCTACCAGAGGGGATAGTAAGCTCTAAAAATAAATAAATAATTCTGACAATATAATCACAAATGATCTGGATAAGAAAGATAAAGGCAAAAAAAAAAAGACAGGTAAAACTGTTCAAAGAACTCTTCGATAAACTCAGGTTTTTGAGTACTGTTCAAAATATGGAAACATGCTTAGTGAAATGAGCAGAACCAAGAGAATGTTGTACACAATAACAGCCACGTTGTGCGATGACTAATACTGACAAACTTAACCCTTCCCTGCAATACAAGGATTTAAGACATCTCCAGAGGCCTCGTGATGGAAAATGCTATCCACATCCAAAGAAAGAACTATGAAAGTTGAATTGCTATTTTTTTCTCTTCTGTTGAGTTTTGTTTCCTCTTTCTGATGGTTCCTCCTATTGGTTTTAATTTTTACTTACAACTTCACTAATGTGAAAATATGTTTAATGGGTATGTAAATGTAAAGCCTATATCAGATTGTGCGCCATCTTGGGGAGGGTGGCGGGGAGGAAGGGGGAGAAAAATTTTCAACTCAAAAGCATATGGAAGTGATTGTTGATAAATCAAAATAAATTAATTTTTAAAAAATTTTTTTAAAAAATAAAATAAAATTGTGTCTTCAGTTTTTAATCATTATTATTTGACTACTTACAAAGAGGAGGGAATAGAACAAGCCATACCAAAGTCTTCTCACTACCTCTTTGCATTAGCTCATCAGCAGTGTAGATCAAGAAAATGCTTTAAACACTGTTATGGGGGGCAGCTGGGTGGCGCATTGGCCCTGGAGTCAGGAGGACCTGAGTTCAAATCTGCCCTCTGACACATAACACTTACTAGCTGTGTGACTCTGGGCAAGACACTTAACCTCAATTGACTCGCCCAAAAAAAAAAAAGAAAAGAAAAGAAACACTGTTAAGGGCATCCAAGGGGTGGCCGCAGTGCACGGGAGTCAGGAAGACTCCAGTCAGAATCTGACCTCGGACACTGAATAGCTGTGTGACCTTGAGCAAGTCACATCACTGCTGTCTGCCTCAGTGTCCTCATTTGTAAAATGGGAATAGCACCTACCTTATAAGGTTGCTGTGAGGATCAAATGAAATAATCATTATAAAGCATTTGGCACAGTGAAGCATTTAGCACAGTGCGCGCACATGGGTAGTGCTATATAAACGTTAGCCGTTATCATTATCTGAATTTTTAGCAAACATCTGACAAAATCTCTCATGATATCCTTGTGTAGGGATACGGACTAGATGGTCACACACTTAGCTGAGCATGAGGTTGGCTGAACACCCCTGCCCAGAGTGATGATTAATGAAATCAAGGTCAAGTTGGAAAGAAGTCTCTGGAGGCACTCTGGGGGCTATGCCGTGGCCCTGCCTCGTCCAACATAAGAAAGCTCAACAGTTACCGGGATGTAGAAAGAGCAAGCATGAATGTCAAATGTGTGGATGATACAAAATTAGGAAGGACGGCTAACACACAGTAGACAGAATCAGGATCCCAAAGGACTACAACCTTGAGAGGCTAAGATCAAATTTAAGAAAAACAAATGCAACGTTCTACACCTAAATTTCAAAATGACAACAACAAAATCTCTTTGTTTAATAGCAATTTATGCAAAAAAGACAGAGAGTTTTGACTGACTGAAAGCTTAACGATAAGGCTGCCAAAAAACATAAACTCTAATGCAATCTTTGGTTTCATTAATAAAGGCATCGTATTCTGAATAAAGGAGGTTAATAATTATTCCATACTCTGGATTAGCCAGACCACACCTAGAGTGCTGTTGTTCACTTTTAGAAAGACATCGACATGTTGAAGGGATTGTGGGGAATCAAAGCAATCATTTTGAAAAGCAATTTGGAATTATGCAAATAAAGCAACTAAAATGTCCATACGCTTGGATCCTGAGATTTCACTATTAGGCTTATGCCCTGAGAAGGTCACTGGTAAGAAGAATATACCCATATACACCAAAATACTTATAGAAACACTTTTTGTGGTGGCAAAATATTGGAAACAAATTCGAATCCCATCAGTTGGGAAGTATATAAACAAATTGTGGCACATTAATATGATAATATATTACTGTGCTACAAGAAACAATGAAAATGAAGACTATAGAGGGGTATGGAAAGATTGCTACAATCTGATATACAGTCAAGAAAACAACATACACAATGACAACAATATAAGTGGAAAGAGTAATCACCACCACACAACCAAGAGAATGTTGCAAAATTACAAAGAATAAGCCTGGTCCCAAAGAAGAGACATAAAAAGAGGCCTTTGGAGAAGTGGGAGATCCGTCAATGTGATACACTGCATATATTTTCAGCCCTTTTCAATGTATTGATCCATTTTGCTGATTTTTTCCTCCCTCTCCTTTTTTCCAGCTTGGCATTGATTTCATTAATTTAAATTTTTAAAAAGCATTTGTTATATGAGGTGGTCTGCTGAGAGGAGAAGAAGGGACACTGGGAGAAATCCTGGTTCTATAAAAAACAAAAGATATCCAAGATTTTTTTTAAAAAAGAGGAACAATGACAGACTATAGCTTATCCAGTGGACACACGGCAAGTAAAAAACACCTGTCTGGAAACAATGTCCCATGAGATATGACTGAAGTCCTCCCACAGAGGGTTTTAATGCAGCTTATTTTGAGAACTTCCTGTGCCCAGAGCTAGGACCAGCGGGTAGAAACTACAGAAACAAGATGAAGAATTTTCTAAAAGTCAGATTTGTCCAAAAGACACAGTGGGTGGGTTGTGAAGCAGTAAGTGCCCTGGCCCCGAAGGTATGCAAGCGACACAGGCATGATGCCCACGATGCCCGGGTGTCTAGGAGGCTGTTCAGAGAGTCCTGCATGGAACCACACTTGGGCTCCGTGACTTAATTCCATGAGAGCCTCTGCCGGTGGCGATCACCACCACCTCCTTTGCTTTCTCTTCCCAGGGACAAAACTCTATTACTGGTGAGTTCTCCCTGTCTATTCTCAATGCTCTTTAATGAAACGTTTCGTTTTGTGCTATCGTGAAAAGAGTCGGAGAGCCAATGGTCAGCTTCCTATCATCAAGCTATTCACCTTTTAGTTTGCTTTGCTAAATTAATGCCAGCCTACTGGAGATACAGTTTTTAAAGCCTTAATAACTAACACAGTTGGGGGGTAGTTTGTATACCTTGAGCAAACGCAGCTCCTACATCTCGTTCCCCCAACCCCAACCACACAAATTCTAATCTCCATTGGGGTTTACTTGAAGTAAGGTATTCTATCTGGATGCCAATGAGCAGGGCAGTCAGCAAATCCATCTTGCACAGAGGACAGACTGGTCTGCTCTGAAATCTTCCCCAGTCACTTAGTCTGAGAAGCATGCTACCGTTATTTACTTACTTAACTAAGTTACCTTAAATAGAAGTAAGCCCGGCTGGAATACATACTTTTTAGTCTCAATATACAAAAACATTTCAGAACTAAATGCTGAACAATTATCTTTCCCCACATTGTTAAGTCCACATCGATTTAACATCACAACCCACATATGAAGCACATGGTTAATGGTGGAGGCAACATGTCTTCCAAGACACCAAAACATATCATTTTCAATCTAACCAAGCTGCTTCTGGGGTTCAGATCCCGGCTCCCATACCACATGGCAAAGCCAGAGAGGGCAGGCATCTAAAAAGGTTTTACATTTCTGTGGTTGATCACTGTCAGCGTCTGGGGCAGAGGGCAGCCCATCTTCTCCACTGGTGCCCACCGAAGTCACCCTCGATACCATGCAGAGAGACCAGGAGCAGGTAACTGCACCCATATCTTAGTCTTGGTTATGATAAATATAAGGATGGCTGAGCCCAACAGCAATCTGCCCACAGACCATCCAACAGCTAACAGACTCTGTGCCCAGAGCCAGAAGACACAGTTCTGTAGCTGCAGGCACACGCCAGTCTCTAGCACTGCTAAGCGGGTTAGCAACATTTTAGAATAGTCTGCCTATGGAGGCTTCCGGGTGGGACTGTCCTGGACATCGGCTTTATGTCACTTCCTATAGGCCACATCGGCAAGAATATTCTAGAGCCTGGCGTAGGAAGGGAAGACCCAAAGGAAAAAGCATGTTGACGACTTCATGCCCCACTCGGTGACCTTATACCACATGTCAACAGGACATCTACTTAGAGCCCAACACAGCACAGACACTTCACTGATAAGGGCTGAGGTGGGGAGGGAGCTACCGTTCTGCTCTCATTTCAGGGTAAGTGAAGAAATGGGTCACACAACTGAAGCTGGGGATGAGAGAAGAGGAGATGAGGAACATGGTCAGGCTGAAACCTGCACCAGCACTGTAACTAGTACAGGTAGATGGGGCTTCCTGATGACAGGAAGGGGAGGGGGGCAGAGTTCCTCCTAGGGGAACCTGCTTCCTGCCTGGGGTGATAGCCATCCCAATTGGGCACAATTCTGTCCCTTCCATCCCCGCCTTGGCCACCACTCTCAGAATCCTGAGACCCCCACAGAGGTAGGGACCAGATCACTGCCCCCCCAGGCACCAGAGCACCCACGGCTAGGCTGCTTGTTATACCTGCCACCCCTCCTTCCACCCCACCCCCCAAATCTTTGACCTTGCCCCAGTGAAAGAAGTCCTAGTTACAGTGGTAACCTCATCTATGAAAAAACATTTTTAGGATGTGAAATAGTATCAGTGATTGAAATAAAACCCCCATCTACTGAACTATCCCACAGCCCAAGTTAATCCAGCTTCTCCCTACGGGGATGGAGGCAGTATCCCCATTGCTGTTCCAGGGAACCACTTTAAAATCCACTTATCACGAGTCCTCCTTTGTCTACAAATGTCAGCCAAAGTCAACGAGACCCTTCCTTACCTTTGGCGGTTTGAAAGGGTAATCTGTAGGGAAGTGAATAGTCAGGAAGAAAACACCACCTTGGTAAGGGCTATCATTCTAGAATGACAAGACATCAAACACACGCCAATTAGAAGAAGAAACAGAAATTTAAAATGAAAAGGGAAGGCCAAAGCAGGGAATTTAGCAGCTGGTACGTACCGGGCCCATGATGGTGGCCTGCCAGTGGAATACTGAAAAATAGAGAGAGAGATGATGATATAATAAATCCATTAAATCAGCAGCCACTTAGATAAACACACCCATTCCACTATAATGCACTAATACTCTTACAGCTTTTCACACACGGTTTAGAGTTTTTCTTCGCTTTGATCAATTCTTATACTCTTGACTGTAAACTCATCGCCAGATTCCTTGTTGGAGGCAGCTAGGTGGTACAGTGAAGAGAGCACAGGGCCTAGAGTCAGGAAGATCTGAGTTCAAATCCAGCCCCAGACACTTAGCAGCTGTGTGACCGTGAACAAGTTATTTCACTTTTGTTTGCCTCAGTTTCCTCATCTGCAAAATGAGGATAAAAACAGCACCTAACTCCCAGGGTTATTATGAGGATCAAATGAGATAATCATTATAAAGCATTTAGCACAGTGCCTGGCGCATAGTAGGTACGCTATAAATATCAGCTACTGTCATTACTGTTGTTGTTTCTTAGCAAAGAACCCTTTTTTCCTTGGTCCATTCCAAAGGGCTTTCTTCCAAAGTATTTCTCCCAAAAGCCAACCTTAAGTCACTTGAGGTGAAGGACTATTTCTTCTCCATGTTCTACAAATATTTACCCTATAGTACCTTGCACTGTGCCACGGACTCTCTGGGAGTTCAACAGCACTGATAAGGTTTTCAAGTTTTTCCCTTCTGGTTTCCCCCTCTCTCTTTACAGGTGTGTTTTTGGTGGAGTTTTTTTAATCCAACTCCCTCCTAGGGATTCAGCCTCTTCAGTGATGAGATACATACTCACTTTCTACTTATTCCCATTTTAATTCTTTGCTCTACCTAAGAACTCAGGGTTACCTGTTCTGGCCCTTGCTCTCATTCCCATTTCTGGACCAGCTCCTCTCTGCTCACCTGACACCACAGAAGAAAAAGGTAGGCAAGAACATAATCTATAATAGCCCAATCATTGATTTCTAGGTTCCTGAAGGCAATCATGTGTCCAGTCCTGGCATAAGGTCAATACAATTCATTTCATAACCTTTTTGGAAAATGCCTGTCCACACCCTTGAAGTGGGATGAATGTCCCAACTGACTTCTTTCTAATCTGGGTGTACAATGGTATCACGTCCCGATGTCCTCCACCAACCACCTCCTAGTATGTACTCAAATACAACAAAGGCTCTATACCTAACAACAAGGAGTAGACGCACTAGTGTTAGAAGGACAAGGTCCAGGACAAGGCACAAACATTTTTTCCCTTGTTGCGTCCAGCAAAGCCGCATAATAGCAATGGGAAGCGCAGGTGCCAGGGGCACAGACAGGGGAGAAAGAAATAAAGGCAGAGAAAGGAGGAGAACCTAGCAAGAAGTGAAAAAAGAGAGAAGGATATGGGGCCCCTCCTAGCCCCATGGTGACTGCCCAGCTCTGGTCCATGAGACGAGCCCTCGGACACACGGAGGCTACAAATACCTGCAAGAATTCAGGGTCATCTGATGGGATACAGAGAACGAGCCTCGTCAGAGAGTGGTGACATGAGATGGGCCTTTGATCCCTAAGCTCTCAACACTGGAAAAAAACCTTTCTTGTCAGCTGAGCCTGAAATCTGCTCACCCAACAGACGGCAGCAACGTGTAGTCCACCCCCCCAAGCCACTTCTTCCCATGCATTTACCCTGTCACCCCCTCTCTGCTCCAAATAATAACCTGCCCACTCCCCACTTACCTGCCTACCTCCTCATTGGCAGCAGACAAGTCTAAAAGCAGGGGTCCCAAGAACAGAGAGAGCTACGGAGAAGAGGCGAGGTGCTAGGAGAAGGCAGCAGAGACTTGGGGAAAGGGGACAGGCCAAAGAGGTCTCTGAAGAAGATGGTGGTCCAGGCAGGAAGCTCCAGGAGAAGGCAGCAGGAGCCTCACAGAACTGGTAGAGGGCTATAGGGGTAGCTCCATTGCATTTTCTACCCCAATTTAGCCAGGGTTGAGAGAAAAAGCTTGCTGAGCCACTTCTATCAAAGGTATGCACAAGTGGGTAAACAGAGTCAGGGAAAAGCCAAAGAAAAGATGGATTGCTGGCCTCTCCTTTCCTCACCTTTCTCTCTGCCCCCCTCCTCCCCAGGGTCAACAAGGGCCAAAGCAGTGGGGATTCTGCCCCTCTGCATGGACACTGCTCTCCTTGACTACAGGAGTGGAGACCCGTCCCCTTCCCCCAGACCCTAAAGGAAGCCTCACAAGGCATGGGGCAGTGGCAACAGTATCATCATCAATATTTTTTTTAAAAAAATTTGTAAAGAGCCATTACCCAAAGAGATAATTATTTAGAGAAATCTTTCAAGTGCCAGCTGCCTTATGATTTTATGCCTACAGGGTGGCAGCATGCTGCATAGAGATTTCTTGAGCAGACTGATTATCTGGAAAGGTCACTGATGAACCTCCCTGGAAAGCAACGTCCTCATTTGCCTCTAGCAGGGAGGGTGGTGTCACAGCCCCCTCTATATGGCTTCTGACCAGAGAGGCCTGTTCACTGCTAACCAGCCACACTACTTGAGATTAATGGTCTTCTAATAAGCTTGGAACTTCAACCAAAGGAAGAGAAAAAGACGGCTGCTTCATTCATTTACTACATGATCTGCAGTGGGAAACATTTTTTAAAAAAGCTGAAGTGGTGGGGGCAGTTATATGGGGCAGTGGATAGAGCGTCAGCCCTGGATTCAGGAGGACCTGAGTTCAAATTTGACCTCAGACACATAACACTTACTAGCTGTGTGACCCTGGGAAAGTCACTTAACCCTACTGCTAATCAAAAAAAAAAATGCTGAACTGGCAAAATGTGGGGATTTATTTGCAAGACTCCTTCAACCCAAAGCCCTAAAACACCATTACTTACAATCATCACCCACAGGTCCTGCTGAGCACTGGGCGGGAGGGTCCCTCTGCAAGTCAGTTAATTCCTAGGAACACGAGAGAGTGATTTCAGAGTTGGCTGTGCTCACTTGCTCTCTGGGAGTCCGTGACACCACACACACACACACACACACACACACACACACACACCCCTCCCAAACACTGATTCTCTCGCTTGGTAAGTTATTCCTTCTGTGAAGAGGTAAGACCCAAATTCTCAAGGACAGAGAACGGTTGTGCTGATGGCCAGAGAGATAAACAAGGAAATGTCTTCCCCAAAAGACTTTGAGCTTCCCACCGTGGCCTCCATCATCACCTTTTCAAATATTCCACCGCGCACCCTCTCAATGGCCAGCCGTGGTAATGATGGCACAAAGAAAGATGCCTCCCCTCCCCTGGGCAATGACTCCTTCAGCCTTATGAGTTACAGCGAGTCAATGAGCATTTATTAAGCTCCCACCATGTGTCATGCAGTATGGTAAGGAAAGGCAAAAAAAGTCCTTGTGCTCAAGAGACTCAGTCTACTGGGGGTGGGCAGGGTGAGCAACTGAAAACAGCTGTGAATGAGCAGATCCATATGGGATAACCTGAAGAGAATCTCAGGGAAAAGCACCAGCACTTAGGGGGACCAGGACATGCCTGCTGTTGGGGGATGGGGTGTTCTGTGCTAGTAACAGCCAGGAGGCCAAAATCAGTGGGTCAGAGAGTATATGGAGGCAGAAAGGTATGATATGGGAAGAGCTGAGGTGTAACTGCAGGGCTTTGAAAATCAAAAGGAAGAATTTATATTTGATCCTGGTGGCAGGAGAGAGCCACTGGGGCTTATGGACTGGGGTGTGTGTGTGTGTGTGTGTGTGTGTGTGTGTGTGTGACAGAGAGTGAGAGAGACAGAGACAGAGACAGACAGAGAGAAACAGACAAAGAGAGACATCGGGACAGAGAGATGTGGTCAGTCCTATCGCTTGGGAAGATCGCTATGACAGCTGAGTGGAGAAAACGCCTGCAAAGGGTTGAGGTAGGCAGACTAACCAGACTCAGGCAGCACACTGACACACTCCACAGCAAGCAAAGACAACATCAGACAGTGGGCGGCAGGAGAAACAGGACAAAGGCTAGTTTCGGAATGCCCCAAGTCCATGCCCCATCCCCAGAGGGAGGCTGCAGGGCAGGAAAGAGGGGCCCAGCATAAACCCCTAGTTTTAAATGACCCTTAACCTGTCCTCCCCATGGCTTCCAACTCTCCTACTCCCGAGCCCTAAAACTGGAATCTCCTCAAGCTGGCCTGGCCATCCTGAGGCAGGACAGTGCAGCTCAGCCGTCCACACTACAAGGGTGGCTGGTTATCTCCTTGGGAGATGGTCCATCTTAACTTGGAGGGACGTGACAATTCCAACAGAAGGGTTAGTGGCCCTTTAAAGACCAGCCCCAGCCAATGCCATTCTCCCACCTCTGCCATGACACTTTCAGGTCCCTGTAATCATTCAGTCATCCCCTCATTGCCCCCAGGCTTCACCAAAACCACTTTTCTGGTAACTTGGCATTGATGCATCTATCTCTACACAACCATAAAGGATTAAGTAGTGAATACATAGCCTGTCAGCTCCCAATCAGATGCACCAACAGAATGGAAAAGGAGCCTTGTGAGAGGGATAGCGCTCTGAGGAAGCTCCAGGAGATCTGGGTTCTAGTTCTGACTCTCTCAGTAGCTACACAAAGGAAGGGCCAGCCATCTCCCCTTGCTTGGCTTTCACTGCCTCATCTGTAAAATGAATCAGGTCCACTGACCCCAATCATCTCTAAAGTTCCTCCCTGCTCTAACATTTGAAGACTCTGGAGAATTCAAGTTAGTGGAAGAATTTAAACAACACCCACCACCACCACCACTACCCCCATTACAGTTAATTCTGATTATTTGTAGCTTATTCCAGCAAAATCTGAATTGCTTTTGGCTAATCCTTTATGTCTGACACAAATCTACTCAGTAGAACTCATAGGACTACTTCAGCAGGGACTTCTAAGTTCCCTGCCATTCTGGATCATCCCACATAGTAGAACTAAGGATTACTACTCCTTGGGTGTGGAAGGAAATCAACTCAATTCTAAAACCATTTGCCAGGCACTTACTAAAAGCCAAGCCTGCTTAACATATCTATGCTAAGCCCAAGCACAGATATGACCACAGACACAGTGATTCCGCACTGGGCTCAGTGTCAGCTGTCTAAGACCCAGGCAGGGGAGGTGAGGGAAACAAAGTCACAGATAAGCCACCAAAAAGATAACTCACTTGTGGATGAGGGAGCTATCACTGTTCAGGTTTCCCTCACTTGTGTTTATCTATGACACTGGTCCTCAGTTTCATAACTCTCATCATATTTATTATCTCCATGAATCAAATCGGCACCTGAGTCTAATATCCTAATATAAAAACTACAGACAAACTTGAGCATTTATCAGCTGGACATCCCTGAGTGACACAAAACATGTCAGGGACAGTCACTGAACCTGAATTGCTGCCCCCATCAGGTAACAACCCTGTCAGTTGTTAGTTCATACTTGTCAAGGACAGTCAGAGTTTTCTGCTTAAATGGAGGCCACCTTAGTTTACTGCAGGCATCATCGCTGCCTCTCCATGAGATAATTTCACCCTGCAGAGGAGTGAACTGTCCTATTTTTCCTGACCTGACATAACCCATCCTCAGTAATGGCACAGAACGAGAATTTTGTGGTTGTTGTGACCCTTTTTGCCTCGGTTTCCTCATTTGTCAAATTAGCTGGAGAAGGAAATGGCAAACCACTCCAGTACCTTTGCCAGGAAAACCCCAAACAGGGTCACAAAGTCAGATATGACTGAAACGACTGAACATCACCCCCACCACCACCATGCCTCACTACTCCATAAACATGGGATGGGCTGTATTCTAGGCGGCCTCAAAGCAGAAGGACCACTCCACTCTTCTCCTTTCCACCACAGTGTAAAACATAAAAGAAAAATTACAGCCTAAGACTGGATCTGCCTTCCTGAAGGCAGAAAGGCTAAGCAAAAAAGGAGGATGAAGCTGAAATGCCCTGGGTTCAGGAGAAGGATCTCCTGTTTGGGGAGGGGTTAAATTAGATCCTCTCTGAGATCAATTCCAGCATAACCATGGTGGGACAGCAAAGTGGAAAGAGTGCTGAACTTAAGAGTCAGAGGATATGGGTTCAAATCCTGGCTGTGCCACTTACTACCTATATATTACCCTGGTCAAGACGGTTACTATCTCAGGGCCTCAGTTTCCCTACCTGTAAAATGGCCTAGATTATTCCTAAAGTCCTTCCAAATCCAAACCTAATACACTGTCACTTTCCTCAAATCTCTTCAAATGGGGAACTTTGCTGCTCCTCCTGGTACTAGGCCTGCATGGACGACAACTCACTGGAGGAGGGTAATTAGGGAAATTTGGAAGCCTTGGGAGGTAGTGAGCTTCCTCCACTGAAAGTGTTTCGAATACGTAATGGCTATGTGACAGTACCACTTTCTTAACCAAGCCACTTATGTCTCTGCCCACATGGCTTCATTGAGCCTCAGTTTCTTCATCTGCAAAATGGGAATAACACACTATCTCCTCTCTCTCTCTCTCTCTCTCTCTCTCTCTCTCTCTCTCTCTCTCTCTCTCTCTTCTCTCCTCTCTCTCTCTCTCCTTCATCTCTGTCTCCAGCCTCTCTGGCTTCCTTCAGGTCCCAGATAAAATCCCATCTTCAGCTTCCCTCTCTTTATCCTCATTTACTCTTGGGCTTCAAGTATCACGCAGCAGAAAAAGCACTGGATTTGAAGGCAGAAATCCTCAGTTGGAGACCTAGGGCTTCCATGAATAATTTTAATTATGTAAAAGCTTTTACACAAACAAATCTAATAAAGCTAAGATTAAATTAATAATTAACTGGGAAAATATTTTTGCAGCAAGTTTTTCTGAAGTCTTACTTCCAAGATATATAAAGAACTGATTCAAATTTATAAGAAAAAGAGCCATTCCCCAATTGACAAATGGTCCAAGGATATGAACACACAGTCCTTAAGGGAAGAGACTCAGGCTATCTATGGCCATATGAAAAAAATGTTCCAAATCATTACTAGTAAAATACAAATACAAGCACTTCTGAGATTCCAGCTTGCACTCATCAGAGGGGCAAAGATGGCAAAAGAAGGAAATGAAAAATGTAGGAAGGGCTGTGGGAAAACTGATGTAATGGGTACAACCACTGTGGAAAGCAATTTTGAATTATACACAAAAGGTTACTGAACAGTGAGTAAGAGAGGAACGGGTCCTTTATTTGCAAAAATATTTATAGCAGCAAAAAAACAAAAAAAAAACCTGGAAACTAAGAGGCTGTCCAGCAATTGAGGGATGCCAAATAAGTTGTGGTATGTGAATGTGATCAAACATCATGATGTCATAAAAAATGAGGGACAGATGATTCCAAAAAGACTTGGAAAGACTTCGATAAACTAATGCAGAGGAAAGTGAACAGGAATAATACAATTTATACCATAACATCACTATCACAAAAACAAACAATTTTAGGGACTTTTATAAACTGATGAAGAATGAAATGAGCAGAATCAGGAGAATGACATGTACAATAACAACAGCAACGTAAAGACGAGCAACTTTGAAAGCTGTAAGGACCATCCATCATCAACGCAATGACCATTCACGACTCCAGAAGACCAAGATGAAAAGATGTTTCTGTGTACAGCCATAGAAGGGATTTGTTTTACTTGACTATGCATACGTGTTACAAGGCATCCCCCCTCTCACGTGGCACAGGGAAGAAGGAAAAACAGATCTGCTTACTTTTTTTAAGACAGAGTTTTGGGGATGGGATGCTACAGACGTGACACACTGCATGCCCTTTCAGAGGAGGTCCCTGAATTATTAGTTTTACTTAACTATTGATTTCTATCACAAGAGACTCCTCATAAAGTGGGATGAATAATCTATAAATGTCTGTAATGTAAAAACAAAACACATCAATAAAAGACCAAGTGGCAAAAAGAATATCAGATTTA